GCAACACCGAGGGTTGCGATCCCGTTGCCGGTCCCGGTCCGGTACGGGCGCGACACTGAGGGTTGCGATCCGTTGCCGGACACGAAAAAAGACAAAAAGGAAAAAAAAAAGAATAGAATCAAAGAATTTCAGAAAGAAAAGAAATTAGAAAACTTGGTAAAGCAACATTTTAACCAAAAAAGAGACTTTCTAAGAAAAGAGTCACGTTACAATTTTCACTCAATAGTCTTCCATGGCTCAGAATTCCAAAATATTTTGAAATATGACACTGTTACATAATATTATAGCAAGTGCACATAGCCTGATAAGGTTGTGATATTTAAACTTCTAGGTTTAAAAACATGTTAACCACATTTCATGAGAAGCCATTTTAGAACCCTAACCGACGAGAAATAACCATTATAAACAACAAGTAGGATGTCTCAGTGGTATTCTGACATCTTTGATTGGATCCTGGCAGCACTAAATCTCTTTTCATGTGAAGTTATTCAGCAAAGAACCAACCTACAATGGTTTAGGTTTGCAGCAATTTATCCAAGCAAACAGACCCAGAGAATCTCACTCACACATTCATCAATTTGATCTGAAATTGCTACAATAAGCTTACAAAGAAAAAATATGATTTTATGATGGGAAAAGTACACTGAAAATGTTCCATGCTGACATAAAAACACTTTGTTTTTCATGTGTTAAAATGTAAATAAGAAATTAAAATCAGCTAAAAGAATCTCATAAAAAAGTTTTAAATGCTGTTGGTGTAGATTTTTGCTTCCAGAAAGATAGGATAAACATACTTTTCTTTATTCTTCCTACGAAATACAGCTAAATATCCTGGACATTATGAAATAAACATAAGGCCCTGAAAAGTAAAGAAAAGAAGGCAATGAGTTCCCTGGGGTTTTTTTGTTTGTTTTGGGGGTTTTTTATTTTTTGCTTTTGTTTTTGCCTTATACATCCCAGTCTAAGTGCTTAGAAAAGCCTCTAAGCCACAAATGCCAATGGTGCAGACAAAGACATGCCCCAAGAAAAGCAAGCGTTCTCAAGAGGTAGATGGGCCATAGAGGATTCTGATTTACTCACAATGGCCAGTCCCAAAAGTTAAGTGTGCTCTCTTTCCCCTAAGATCCAAGAGCTGGAAGCCTCTGGAAAGATTCAGGGAATCTTTAAGGGTTTGCATATATTGTCCCCAAATCTTAAAAGCACTTACCACTATACAACTTAGTAACAAAGAGATCAAACCTGAGATTACATTCTTTCTTCAGGAATTCCAGGTTTTGCTGCAATGGTTTCATTGTATCTTAATTAGATATGCTACAGCACTAAAAATTACAATATGAAGTAATGGTGGGTGTAATTTAGATCAATCTTATTATTGAGAAAATTAGAAAAGCTGGAGAAATAAAGCTTTATTGGAACAGGCACACTCATTTGTTTACATATTGTCTAAGGCTGCTTTTGTGCTACAATTGAAAGATGAGTAGTTGCAACAGAGATTGTATGAACTGCAAAGCCTAAAATATTTACTATCTGTCCATAGCACCCTGACTAGGTGTTGATTCTATGGCTATGTTTACTGTGTGATAATTTTTTGATCTGTATATTTAAAATCTGATCTATACACTTATAATTCTTTGAAGTATATATGCAGATAAAAAAATTTTTAAAACTGTACTTAATGTTTTTAAAAACCTGCATTCTGGGCTGGACAGTTAGCTCAGCTGATTAAAGCGCAGTGTTATAACACCAGGGTCAAGGGTTCAGATCCCTGTACTGGCCAGCCGCAAAAAACAAAAAACACACCTGCATTCTTATACCATGGGTTTTGAAAATGAAAGAGCAGAAATAAAACATATGTTTTGTATATAGTTAAGAAAGTAGAGCAGTTCTCCCAGACAAACCCTTTGTACTCATTTCTCCAACCTCTTAGGATTTGTGCTTTGTTTCCATGGGAGTTTTAAGAGTTTCAATAGGCTTTATTCAGGTACATGAGATGATTGAGGTCCATTACATAACCATTGATAACTGCTTTTATTACTTACAATGAAAAAAACAAGACAACTTCTTTCTTTCAGGATAGACAAGAATCAGAAAAACCCTTTAGTGGCAAAGAATTACTCACTGTATATAACTGTGACTAAAGTCTGCAAAACATTGTTTTTACAGAAAATCCACTTAAAGATCTTCAACCAATAGGTGGGTAGCAGAATCACCTGAAAGCCATTTTCAAAGTCTTTTTCAATGCTGTAGTGAACTACTGCTATTACTGAAAATGCAAGAGAGGGGTTCTGGGACAGCAAAGGTGGACAACCACTGGCCTATATCATAGAAATACCTATGATATAGTTATGTTCACCATGTGATTTTTACAAATAACTCTGTGTTAAAATAACAAAAAGGGTGGAAGAAGCTTGCCCTTTTAGGCATCTGAATTAAAAATAACAACACATGGGCCGAGCCTGTGGCGCACTTGGGAGAGTGCAGCGCTGGGAGCGCAGGAGCGCTCCCGCCGCAGGTTCAGATCCTATATAGGGATGACTGGTACGCTCACAGCACTCACTGGCTGAGCGCGGTGTGGCCGGTCTCAAAAAGGACAAAAAAAAAAAATAACACATATTAGAAAGTACATACCTCTCCATTTTCAAACGTTATTTCTCGGACGAGAGGAACACATTTATCTTGAATCCAATTGTAAGTCACATCAAAATTTGTCATAGTTCCCAAGTACACCATATCTGGAGCAGAATGCTGTTATAAGAAGAAAAAAAAAATTAAACAAATCTAACCTGTGCTGGCAAAAATATATTCTTAAATTCATTTAATAGCCAAAAAAAACCTACAGGAGACACAAAAGAAGCAAACATGGAATTCTGAGAAAGAGGGCAGTACATGGTAAAAAGCTGATAGTTCTGTGATTATCAGGAACCTGATAATCCAATCTGTGACATCTAAACCTTCTGCTTTTCCTTGGACTTAAGTCAATTAACTGTTTATCAGTATATCACCAAAGGCAGGCAGGCATTGTGAAAAGAATTACCCAAATGAATTAATTTAGCTATTCCTTAGAGTTGAAAACGTTAGAAGAAAATGTGGAGAGTGAAAAAGCTTTGAAAATACAAGATGATATATAGATCTAAGGTATGGCCATCTCTAATATTAATTACCTACAGATCTGTTTCCATATTCACTCAAAATCCATATTTATGAAATGTCTAAAATGATGATTAAAAACAAACATCCTCCAAACATTCCTATAAGGCAGGTACTGTTATTATCATCCCCTATTTTTACTAATAAAGAAACTGAAGCACAGAGAAGCTAAGAAAATTTCCCAGAGTAATACACCTAAGAAGGTGGCAGACTTGACACTCAAACCCAGACAGTGTGACACCAGAGCCCATGCTCTTAACAACCTTACTACACTAGGAGTATACTGGATTCTGATAATCTAGAGATAATGACACTATATAAGCTACTACTAAAGAAATGCACTTGAAGAAAATACAAGCAAATACCTATCTGAATTCAGAAAAGGAAATGGAGTTTCTAAGCAGAAAATTTATCTGACTGCATACAAATTTAAAGTTTCAATGTGTCAAAACACTGCAAACAACATTAAAATGAAAACTATAAATTGAAAAAATATCCATAGATTTCTATTTGTGTGTGTGTGAAAATGAAATGACAGATCTTTAGGTCAATTTGGGATAACACATATTAAGATTTTTGTCTCTTAGTTGTGGCTACCATCATCTGGGCCTAAGCAGTTACTTCTAGATTTATATATACATCAAATTTCTTAGCCCAAGGGTTAAAAAACAGCCTAGCTGCTCCTTATTATCTGGCAAGCACCAGGTTAATTCATACCCCAGAAGACTTGGGAGCTTGGCTAGTTCAATACAGGTAGGAGTGATGATCATAGGCCACTAACGCATTTTTTTGAATTTGGCTCCCAAACTAAATGCAAAACAGAGAGGGAGAAAAGGCCTGAGAGTCAAGAGATCTCAAACCCCAGCTCTGCCATTAAATGAGCTCTGTTATACTTCAGGCCTCTGTGGCCCCATCTTCACTTTGAATGGTTTGGATTAGCACAAGATGATGCTCCAAGATCCCTTCCTATCCTAAAATTCTATGATTCTGTGAATATTAACACATATAAAACTACAGATTATACTATACATGTATTTAAATTATAACTTATAATTCACATTAAGAAATGGCAACTTACCCCTGGTGGTTTGTAGATTATATTGTCTCCACTATATCTTTCTGGTTTTGAAACATCCCTAACAGGAAGGCAGAAATAGTTATAATACTTTTTTTTTTAGAAAAATAACAGTAATAAAACTAAATAAAAATAAAACTAAAATAAAATAATAAAACTAAAATAAAATAAAACTAAACAAAGCACAATAAGAATATTTTGCAATGTGTGAATTACAAAGATTTAAAATATATACTTGTCCATCATCTTTCCTATTTATAAGACTATGCAATATTAAGAGAAAGCATACATTTAAAGGAAAAATTTCATGAGGCAGATTTTTTAAGGGAAAATATTAGGTAGCTGTTTTTGTGACTAGTATTCTATAAGTTTGGATTGCCAGTTTTGCACTAAAAAGTTGTTGTTGACCCCAGACTGTTTGCCAGCAACTGGGAATCAAGGTCATTGACTTGGTCACATAGACAAATAAAAGATATATATATTATTCACTTGTAAGTCAGACTCAATCATGAATTTTCTACTTCTTACATTTTAAAACCAACTTCTAAAAAACAGATGAACTAAAATAACCTACATCACTAAAATATATTTCCATAAATAAGCAATTTTTGTTTATTTGTCCACTGTTGTTTCCTGTGCCTAGTACAGTACCTGGCACTTAACAGATACTCAACCAATACTTAGTGAGTGAATTCTACAACAAATTCTAGGCATAATGGGAACTTTCTCTCTCCCTAAATTATTTTTACATTAATTGAACATGATTTATCTCCAGTGTCTGGCAAGGCGTACTAACCTAGACTGATGATAGTGGAAACAGAAAGGAAGAACATACTTCGCTAATTCACCCACTCATTCATTCAATAACTACTTACTATGTGCTTTCTCTGTACCAGGTATGGTTGTAGCACTAGGTATACAGTAGTGAACAAAACTCACAAAACTCTCACTCTTATGGAACTTATACCTTGGTAAGGGAAGACAGACTAACAAGTATATAGATTTATCTTGGGTGGTTAAAAAAAACCCAAAAAAATCCAGCAAGGGCAAAGGCTCTGCTGCACAAGTGTTCTTGCAGCATTAAGGAATAGCAAGGCAGCCTATATTACTACTGGTGAGCAGTAAAGTGAAAAGCATGGGGTGGTGGCTGTTCCCCATTTACTCTGTACATAGATCTTCAAAATACACTGATAATCCTTACAACGAAACATACACACACACACACAAAATCTACAAAAGCATTAAAGCAAGAACAAAGGACAAAGGTCATAAAATAGACATGACTTACTGTGCCAGAAATCTGTGCTCTACTCAAGATAGCTTCTGCAATTGGGCCTGACAGTTATGGGCCAACGAAAAAGGAGGAATAATAACTGAATGGAAGGCAAAGGATCACTGAGATAACCTCCAATGAGAAGAGAGGGTCAACAACAGAACCATAAGAACGATTCCATTTTGAGAAAGAAAAGAAAAATAAGGAAGTAAAGTCAGAGAAGTAAGAAAGATAAGAAGTAAACCAGAGGGATTCTATGTAAAATGAAGACATAGCAGAAAAAGGAAAGGGTAGTTGAGTGTCACATCCTTCAGAGAAATTGAAGAGGATTTAGATGGAAAAAAAGCCACTGAGGGCCGGCCCGGTGGCGCACTGGATAGTGCGCCGCTTGGGAAGCGCGGCGGCGCTCCCGTCCGAGGGTTCGGATCCCACGTGCAGACCGGCTCCCGCTCACTGGCTGAGCGAGGCACAGGAGCAACACCGAGGCTTGCGATCCCGTTGCCGGTCCCGGTCCGGTACGGGGGGCAACACTGAGGGTTGCAATCCGTTGCCGGACACGGAAAAAAGACAAAAGACAAAAAAAAAAAAAAAAAGCACTGAATTTGGTAATTAAGAAATCATTTTGTAAGTGTGCAGAGACAAGTTTCACTACAGTGATGGAGGTGAAAGTCCACTTCCAAGAGTTAAGGTTTTTACTGGTTAAAGTTTGAGAAAATCAAGGTAGTCAAGCATAAACGAATCTGAAAAAATGTGGGAATGAAAAGAAAGAGATGAGATTACAGCTCAAGAGACAGACAGGTGGGTCAGGAAAGAGAGAAGCAAGTTTTTGAAAAATGAAAGCAGTTCATGAAAAGGGTCAGGTTGAAAAAACTGATGGATGAAAGCCCTAGAGGAGTTTGAAGGGACAGTCACAAGGACACTGGTGAAGAGGTTAGCTTTAGAAAGGAGAACTGTTCCTCTGAGATAAGGAAGATATAAGAAAAGGTGGTGGAGAGAGAGAGATGAAAGAAGATAATGAAGCCCATGCTTCTTCGTGAGAAAGATAGTGTGCTGTTTCAGTCTGGGACCCCCATGGTTAGCATTTTGCCTGGCACAGGGTAAGCATTAGTAAATGAGTTGAATAAAGGCATGAATGAATTAACTGTAAACTCATCCATTTCTTCCTCTTACTCATATTCTGAAATAGAATATACTACAGAAGGGAAATAAACAGATATTTAAGCCCTTAAAAAGAATTTAGAGATAGGTATAAAGACTGGTTGTGACTTTAAAAGAACTCAAAGAATCTTTGGAGAGGTCATCTTCAAAAAATAACCAAATACAACAAGAATTTAACATGTCTGTCAAACCAACCCACTAACATACTTTCAATTCAGATACTTACCCAAATGCAGAAAGGAAGGTACAGTCATCATGCAAAATATTTGCTACTCTTTCAAAAACTCTATAGTTGTCTGAATCCTTTTGCTCAAAATATCCAATGATACTTCTTTTGCTTCGCTGTAAAATAAAGTATCTAATTATTTTGTACACATATATAGTTTTATAAATATGTTATTTCATTTACCCCTTATTCTGGTACCTAAACAGCTCCAACTATTTTTCAACTATCTCCAAATTAAGTAGGACTATAAATGCATAATTAGCTTCTAACACCAATTCCAAACTATTAAAGATTACATTGGGTTAAAAATAGTCTTAAATACAATAAAATATACTTATAAACATTTCCTTCTAGCATTTAATTTTAAGATTTCAAGAAATAGATAATTAAGACAGACAGTCTTCCTAAATAAGGTGACTAATTCTAAATGTGTTAAAATAGCACATCAACTTATAGCTTGTGAATGTTGGTAGAGACGCCTCTGTGTAACTCTTATACTCCTATACATTTTACCAAATATGCCAAAAATGCAAGACCCTGACCACTCTTCACCCAGGCCATTTTGCAGGGTTGTGCTTGCAGTGAGCAGCATTGAGGTATGAGGTAATATCTCCCTCCAGGACAAAGATTGGGTGTGGAATATACTAAAAAGCATATGTACTTCACAGCACCTGGTTTTCCAAAGTCTTGCAGTTTCAAATATTGACCTTGCAAGGACAGGAAATTTTCTTCAGGCTATAAGTCTCTATTACAAGATAAGGATTGTGGCACAGCAGGTTGCCGGCTCAAAGGACAGACCAGTTACTGATTGTTATGTAAAGATACTGAGAAATTGCTGTAAGAAGGAATGTTTGCTAACATCAAGCTTTTGTTGATAGCCTTACTGGAATGACATCTGGCTTATTTCACTGAAAGTTACCAGCCCATACTGTTAAACTATAACCCCACCTGTGTCTCTTCTTGTAACTTCCTGGTCTGGAAAATAAATGCAGGAAGAGAACCCCAATTCAGCATTAATTTCCCAAGGAAGGGATCCCTCTCGCTTGAGGGTTCCAGTGGGAGATTAACCACTTCAGGGCCTCTCACTGTTCAGTAGAGGTGGGCTTTGAGTAATCCTTTGCATCTCTGTCACCCAGGGGAAGTGGATGACAAATCCGTGGGGGGCGAAGCAACACAAAGCAACAATCGGGGTTACCGCTTACTCTGAAAGGACAAGTTCCCCAAGCCCAGTGTTCATCTGCTGTAACACAATCCACTGCATGTGCAGGCATCCATATGGCTGGGCCCTCTGTGTTAACTCCATAGAACTTGGGGGCAAGGAAACAAACATGCTCACACTGCTTGCTTTGTGATGTGAGCAATAAAGTCCTCTGTCTCTGACCCAGGTGTCTTGCTTCTTCTGACAGCATCCATGAAATGGTAACTGGCTAACTTATTAGCTTGTAAGTAGGGTAAAAATAAACCTTAAACCTGACAGTCACAATAAGTGACTGTGATAAAGCACAAACTCTTCTGTTTTTGCTTCTGTTGTTTGTTATATTTAAAAAACTATTTAGTGTACAAAGAAAGGGGTTTGCTAAGTTTATCATTAAGAGGGGGCAACTGTAGAGAACACTAAAACCTATACAAAGAGCTAATTATAGGAGTGACTGGAGCAGATATTCTGAAGATCTCCACTAAGAAAAATATGGAAACTCTGGCAGCATATACTTGACTTTACCTTCTATTTCTTTTTAATTCAGGCTTCCCTTTGACTTCCATTAATTCGAATTAGTACAACTTTACTGTATACTATATATTTTATCTAGAAGTTCAGTAGAATAATAGCATTTCCCTTGATAATCAGTTCAAGAAAAATTCAACTCACTATGTATATGTTGAATCCATGGCAATGAACTATAGGAGAATATCCAGATTCTTTGCTTGAGTTAGAATTCGTTTACATTCATTCAACAGGCAATGTTCATTTGATCAAGCAAAAGTTAACAACTTACATCAAGGGTGGTGATTTCTGCTAAGTCCCGAATTTCCTGAATGGGGTCACTTTTCTGTTGTCTGATGTAATCTGCAAGTGCTTTCACTGATCGCTGACCCCTGTATTCTCTCTTCATCATCATCCCATTACGAAACAATTTGAGGGTTGGATATTTGCTTATCCTGTATCTCTGGGCTATATCAGCTAAAATAATGAAAAAAAATTAAATTCACTCTCATACTTGATCAGGATAAGCCTATCAGCCCAACAGTCAAAAATCTTACAACTGCTTAGTAAAAACTTTTTGATTCATGTCACTCTTCTTTCAGTGAGAGAGAGAAAAAATTAATCATCACTTGAGTTTATATTGGTTAAGAGGCCAGACTCTGGACTCATACTGACTTTAAAATCCCAAATTTGCTACTTACTGGTCATGTGAACTTGTAAACTACATAAACTCTCTGTGCCTTAGTTTTTCATCTATTATACAAGGATGAGAATTTCTACCACATAAGTTATTTTAAGGATTAAATGAGATAATACAAATACATAGCACAGTAAGCATGGCCCATGAAAACTGACTATAAAAAACAGCAATAATAATTATGTCTTATAAGGTTTGACACAAACTAAAATACATGACAATGACAACAGCAGCATATAAGCTGGCGGAAGGGAGAGAAACAGGAGGAAAACTATGTTAATTATTCTAAGGTCTTTACACCGCCCAGGAAAAAGTTAACGTACTTATAATATTTTGATAAGTCAAGGATGCATTTTACTCTCTCTAGGATAAGTGATCATAGGATACCAAAGGTGTATTAGTAGTTAAGGGTGGTTCTTGAAGGGGGGTTGGAGAAAAGGCTATATAATCAAGATCACATAACACTTTGGAAACTCCATGGAGGATGTATAAAGGGGAAATCATGATTGATTACTAAAATTCTTTAAACAGAAGGAAAGTATGAATAAAAAAGGGAACCACTGATCATGTATGAGAATGCTTTTTTAACCAAAATACAGAAATCTGAAATATTGCCATCTTAATTTACACATATTTAACATAGACAATAATCTGTCTGATTTAGGAGTTGGTAATTCCTTGAAGCAGATGACTAGTAGATATATCAGCTATAAGCCCTTTTTCAACCCTGATAAATTACAGTGAGGTAATATGTCTTTGAGGTATTATAAAGATGGTGTGAGTCCTATTACCTGAGAAAGGAATTAATGAGATTAAATTGGTACTACAGGGGCCGGCTCGGTGACGCACTCGGTAGAGTGCGGCGCTTGGGAGCGCGGCGGCGCTCCCACCGAGGGTTAGGATCCCATATAGAGACTGGTCCGCTCACTGGTTGAGCGCGGTGCGGGCGCGACACCGAGGGTTGCGATCCCATTACCGGTCACGAAAAAAGACAAAAAGGGAAATAAGTAAATAAATAAATAAATAAATTGGTACTACAAATTGAAAGGTGAGAGTAGTACCATAAGCAAGTATAAGTCTTTTAAGTTAAACAGAGGCACTTGAAAAAAGGCATAAGCCACAAAGGCTTGGGCTTACCTTACTTACATGAAAACCAACCTAGAAAAATAATTTTTTTAAAAAAGGAATTTTACTTTCCCAATAAAAACTACATTCACTCCCCAGCATATTACATACAAAAACCTAGCATATTATAAAATGAATTTTTGCTGTGATGTATACATAAAAATGTTTTTAATAAAAATGTTAAAATTAGGTTGAATAGTTCTACTAGCCAATGCTACCATGTTGTGGTCTAGAGAATGGAAAATGTCTTTTTAAAAGTTATTATTTCCCCAAATGTCCATCAATAGGGAGAATGGTTGAATAAAGTATGGTACACTCGCACAATCAAATACTAGGCTGTTATATAAGGAGATGGAAAAGATCTCTGTATGCTGCTAAGGAACAATCTTCAAGATATACTGTTAAGTGAATAAAGCCAGGTACAGAAGAGTATGTACAGAAAAGATATTTTGTGTAAGCAATATGGAGAAGAAACTTGGGGAAGAAATATGATTACATACGCATACATATACACACACATATATACATGTATATATATGCTTACTTATATATTTGTCCCTCCCGCCCCCCAAAAAAAAACATCAATGTGGAAAAATGGCAAGAGGAGTCAGGAATGAAATTTAGATTTCTCTGACTATACTTTGGTTTTACAGTTTTGACTTTGGAACTATGGAAATGTTTAATATTAAAACAAAATTAAATTTTAAAAATGTTAATACTAGCATTGTTATTTTGAAATTAAACACATATCATAGATAAAGAACATAATAATTATGATGATGCCATTAAGGATCAAGATTTTCAGCATAAGAAAAAAAAACATAAAACTGAAGTAAAGTAAAAACTCTATAATATTTCATTTGAGTTAGAAGTACCAGCATGAACTCATGTTTTTCTTTCAAAAATGTACTTCTAAGCTCTTTCCACTGATAGCTATCATCAATTATTTAATGCCAATAAGTTTGAAGATTTACATAAAATGGAAAAATTCCAATAAAAATACAATTTACCAAAACTGACACTAGAAGAAAAATAAAATATAAATGAAACTGAATTATTAAGGAAATTGAATCCATAATTCAAAGCCTTCCCACAAAGAAAACTTCATTCCTATATTTCTTCACCAGCAAATTCTACCAAACATTTAAGGAACCAATAATGCCAAATTTACACAAACTATTACAGAGAATACAAAAGCAGAGAACACCTCCCACTAGTTTTACTAGGTCAATGTAATTTTTGAGAAAACTGACAAGGAAATTATGAGAAAAGAAAAGTATATGTTAATCTTACTCAAGTACATAGATGCAAACTTGAAAAGAAAATATTAACAAACCAAATTAAGCACTACATACAAAGGCTAATACATCATAATCAAGCTGGATTTAGTCTAGCACTTCAGTTTAGATTAATATTTGAAAACAATTAATGCAATTCATGACATTAACAAAATAAAAGAAAAATTCTATAACTTCTCAAAAAAAGCAGAAAAACATTCGATAACATTCAACACGCATTCATGATTAAACACCCTTCGCAAAGTAGGAAAAGAGAACTTCCTTAATTTGATAAAGGATATCAAATTCAAGTAAATAAATACCAATCAACTTGATGGTGAAACACTAAAAGCTTACCTGCTGAGATCAAGAAATAAAGATGCCTCACATTACTTCTATGTAACACTGTACTGCAGTTCTTAGTGTAATGAGAAGAAAAAGAAAACAAAAAAGAGTATATATACAGTGGAAAGGTAAAAATAAGAATGCCATTACTTACAGATGATTTTATTGGGTTCACAGAAAACCCAAACAGGAATCTACAAAAAGATTTCCACTTCCAAGTTAGGATGTAGTAGGTAGCAGAAATCTACTGCTCCTGCTACAACAGTAGATAAAACTGAGTTTTTTAAAAAAACTACATTTTTAGGGCCGAGCCCGTGGCGCACTCGGGAGAGTGCGGCGCCGGGAGCGCAGCAGCGCTCCCGCCGCGGGTTCGGATCCTATATAGGGCTGGCTGGTGCGCTCACTGGCTGAGCGTGGTGCGGCCGGTCTCAAAAAGGACAAAAAAAAAAAAAAAAAAAAAACAATTTTTTTAAAAATATAAAAAACAAAAAAAAAAAAAAAAAAAAAAAAAAAAAAAA